TCCTGCTTACTGGTTCTCTAACTAGCCTCACTTCATACTTGGTATGACCCTTGAAGCTGTTCACCTTTGGTACTGCAGTACATTTTCATTGCAAATGCCACCAGCAGCCTAGTGGTTCAGAGCATTTCCATCATTTTCTTTATTCCCTCATTTCCCCCTACTATTTCATTTATATTATTGTCCTGAAGAGCTGATACAAGGGAAACCAGCTATGGTAATGGGCAAAGCAACAGAGGTGTAAGGATCAAGACAGCAACATTATTAAATATAGCTGTAACTATGGTAGCAAAGGATATTTCTCTTAATTTATTTTTCTCTAAGCAGACAACATTAGAGGACACTCATTTTGCAGGTAACTATAGCAATAAATACCAATTATGCAGCCCTGATAAAGCATTAAAGGTCTTTCAGAAGGCTTCTGGATCAGAGAGTTGGGGTTTGGACTGGTTTTCCTGCTTACTTGATTGGAGCAGTCCAAGTATAGGCTTTAGATTTGATTCTGCTGAGACGCAGCTCCTCCATCTCCTCCGAAAGCACTGCTGTCCAGCCACTGGCAGTGACAGGAGCAACGAGTACTATTAACTAGCTGCAAGCAGGCAGTGTTTCTGAGCTTCTGCCCAAGGGTCACCCTTAGCAAGTTTATGTAGTGAATGAGGGTTCACACTTAAAATTTTATATATGCCATGTATGTGCACACACATATATATTTAATTTCACAGTTCACACAGTGGTTCACGATGCCTTTTGAGAACCAGGGTGGGAATCACAAAAGGTTACAGGAGCCCCCTTGAACAGGCTCAGTTCTTAGGACCCTGATGAGGGGGGAATGGCCAAGACCCTTCATCAGGGGCTCCATGTGCCCGGTTCCACGGAGCATGGAGATTGGTGGAGCAGGAGCAGACACTTTCGGGCAGCACTTGCAGCCTTTTCTCACTGCTCCACTCCCAAGAGCATGTCAGAGGCGTCATCCCCAATTTCAGAACTGACTGAGCAGTGTCTTCACAGTAATGCAAGAAATTCTCTTCACACAGAGAACTCTCATCAGGCTTAAAGACTGACCACCCATACGCACTGCTCGCTGGTTTTTACAAAGCCCAATGTGATAGCAACAAGATCTCTGGCAAAAACAACTTGAAATGGCTTTATTTTAAGTGTATTAGCACAATATTTACAAAATTATGTTTCATAAATAAAAACATTTTCTTGGGTAAAGGCTGTAGATCTTTAAAATGTCCAGTAGTGAGATTTTTTTTTAATATATATTCACATATATACACTCACACATACACACAAAAACATAATCATACAGTTATGAACAACTTTGGTTTTGAATTACTGGTGGGAAGGGGCCGGGTAAATCTATGAATTTTAAACTCATCTTTTTGAATTTGTACATACAAGAAATCCATTAACATAACAGCATGGAGAGCAAGGTGAGGAAAGGAAAATCTCTCCAATTTCTCGAATAATTTCTTCTTCAGTCGGTACTTGGCCACAAAGTCCTAAACTTTTCAGCAATGTCCTGGTAACAGCTTGGCCTTATCACCACAGTGATACAGAACAGATTCTACTGCAAACTGCTTTACAGTAGTCAGTATAAAGCTATTAAACATCATGGTTTTGTAAGGCAGAATATCTCAACAGAATTCCAGGGTTTTTCTATTCCTCAAATGCCCCTCTTCCAACTTACCAGAGGAATGTGTAATCACAAATAAAGAGCTCTGCATACTACTTATCAGGTAAATCCTTACGCTGAAATCTATTAATGCAGTGTAACATCTCCCATCTTCAGGTGGACTGCAATGATTATGGGGCAACCTATACTAAAAGATTTGTATATGGGATCTCAAAACTTACCTAAATACTCCCACCAGCAAACTTGAAGGAGTAAAGCTAAACCATACTCCTTGTCAAGTGTTTTATCACACGTGTAACCCTCTTCACAGTGGATAATTTGACTTTTAGTGAGGGTTGGACTGTAAGTGAGAGTAAATACTGTAAAATCAGATACCACAATTGAATTTTGTTGGATTATTGATGCCCAGTGTCTGCATCACCACTATAGCCCACATGGGGACTCATGCAATGTGCAGCTACAGCATGAATATGAACCCCAAGTTAACTTAACCCAGCTCTGAGACTTGCTCAATTACTCGGAATCTTTCAAAACAAGCGTGATACTACTGCAACTGGGCAACAGCTTTCCAAACAAAGTCTTAAACTGTTGAAAGGAGAAAATATTTGTGCCTTAGAAAATTCTTATCCTAGTACCAATGGAGAGAATGTGAAGATTTTCTACAAAACATAAAGTCCAAAAGAAACCAGCTGTATTTTGGAATAACTCTGGAAATAGCTGTAAAATGTGTCAAAGTCTCACGGAATGTGTAAGTCTACAAGACTGATCCTACCTGGATTTTCACCCTTCGTACTTCGAAATCTAGGGAAACTGAGCCTCCTCACTTTTCATTAGCTCTTCCTCCTTACTCTCTATTATATTTATTTGTGACAGTATCGCAAACAGGGGTCAGAAATAATTTACCCCTATTTCCATTCAAGAAAGCAGATTTAAAAACTCTGTTAAAAATTAAGCTAAATAGAACAATTCCTACTTTTCTGATGCATCAACATATATTACGAATCCACTCAGTTAAGAAAGCCTGAAATTGGTTCCAGTACCACACACTGTACAATATGAACAAAAAGAAGAATCACATTCAGCATGAAAATTACCAGGTGCAATGTTCTAACTCCAGTGCACAATTTGGCTCTAAAAGCTGAGCAGAATTTCCAAGAATATAAAAAAAGAGGCACCAAGAACTCTCCCCCTGGCCTAAAATATGGGCCACCACAGCATACACAACTAGTGTCTAAAAAGAGAAATATGACTGTTTTGTGGAATAACGGTGGCTCAGGTAAAGACTTGAGAAGACCTGGGAGTAAACTCTGTATTTATTTATTTTCATGTATAAGCAATTTTTTTCCTGCAAGTTCTGCTGAATGTCAGAAAATAAATATTTGTACAAATCCTACTTCCTGCTCATATCATAGACATAGGACCACACCTTGCCCATGCACACAAATAAAGAAAACAATCTAAATGGTACTGCAATCTCTGGGCCGAGCAGGCCCATTACCAAAGCAGTGACTGATGATGGTTTTGAAAAATAATACCACTAAGGATACTACAGGAAGACCCTGTGGTGGGCAAACAGTGCTTTTTATATTCTCACCCTCAACCACACCATATATACCATAATAGAAGAAAACAGAGTTCACATGTGGGTAGACACACATGTTCCTCGCTACGGCTGCTGTGACTACAAAATACATCATTTATATCAAAAGCACTTTTGCCACACATGCAAAACAGCTAGTTTTCCTGAATTTCTTCTCTTGGAGTAGTGCATCTTCAAGGCCACGGTGTATAAACAACGGTGAATTTCTTTCCACACATCACCCACCTCTGCAGCGGATTCAGTTCTTCTCATTAGTTACACTAGAAATTAAAAAAAAAAAAGTATATATATATATGTGCATATTCAGGAAGAGTTTTAACAAAGAACACATGCTGCCTATCCAAATTATAGATTTTAAAAATGCCTTTCCCTTCCTTCTTTCAACTTCTGGAAGGGCGCTTGGCTTCCAAGTACCAGGCAAGAGCAGCACGAGCAGCCAGCCAGCGCTGGGGCTGCTCCAGGGAGG